TATAGCCCTCAAATTTTTAACTACAACAATGCATTTGTAAATGTCTACTGAAAATCTTGTGGGTAGGCTCTTAGAAGGCCATTTTAATATATCTAAAATCAAATTTGTTAATTTCGCCAGTGAACCTAGAAGTTCATGGCATCACTATCTATCTAGCCATATTGGCAAAATTTCCCAGACTTGCCCTAACCTCTCATTGCCTTTAAATACCCACACCTAATTGCTCACCACTTTCTGCCTGTACAGTGTCTTGAGTCTAAATCCTATCACTTCATAACTAGCTTAGTTCTGCCCCTTATAATCTGTCAGCACTTTGGTAACAGACTCCTAATTGGTCTCCTGTCCCCAGACTCTTAGAATGGCAATCAATCTGCACAATGGTATTCTAAACAGTAAGAAAAAGAAAAGAAAAGAAAATCCACAGACTATTTTACTGCCTCCCTAAAAAATAATTACAAACTTTTTGTGTTTTGATTTTATGAATTATTTTCACTCATTTTCTCCCTAAGTACAGTGTTTACCGCTTTTAAATTGGGCCATATTGTACAGACAAGTTTTCTCTAGTGATCAAGGGGTGCTACACACAGCTACAGTCCTCTTTTAGGATGTGTTCAATAATGGTTCTAGACGGTAATCTTTTAGGGAGACAGACTTAGGGTTTGAATGACCATGGTTTGGACCTCAGTCTGCTAGGCTGAACATCAACTTTCTCAACTCTAATGGTAATAACCAACATTTACTGAGCATATGCTTTGCGCTAGATATTTTTTAAAGTACTATTTATTTTTTTGTAAAACTTTAAACAACTCTCTAAGAGAGAAACCTTATTATTATTCCATTTTCTTTCAAGGTAACAATCCTAAAGAGAGTAAATAATCTTTTTTTTTAAAGTAAGCAAAAAAAATTTTTTTTTTACTTTTGGAAATATATTATTATATAATACACAAAGAGATATAGTATTAATGAATAATCAAAAATTCACATCTAAATTAGAAATAATATACACTGAAATACAACATACATTATGTGCTTCAATATGTAATTCTACCAAACTACAATGAAAATAGGCTATTCCTGTTAAGAGTGTTTTATAGACTGTGACAACACTGAGACATATTTCGTATAAATTATTTTGAAGGATAAATTATAATACATTTAGAGTTTCACAACACTTTTTCTAAGAAAAATTAGCTCTTCGTACAGCTGAGTTTCCTGTCTGAATTTAACTTTAAAGTTAATGCAATGGCATTTTAATGTTTCCTATAACATTTTCTGTAACTTGTGGAGGTCATGCAAGAAACCAAAAGTGCCTTCATGAAATAATGCAAAACACCTGTTTATGCATTGTGAGAGTAAGTAATCTAAGATCATCTAGTTTGTAAATGGAAAAGATGGGATTTCAACACAGGCATTTAAGCCCAGAGCCTATGCTTTACTCACCTTTATATGCCACCTTCACGGCAAGAATATGTGTGCACTAAAATGTATTTAAAATTTCCGGTGATGGGTATTAAGGAGGGCACGTACCGCATGGATCATCGGGTGTTATACGAAAACAATGAATATGGAACACTACATCAAAAACTAATGATGTAATGTAAGGTGACTAACATGACACAATAAAATAAAATTAAATTAAAAAAAGAGTTCAATACATATCACCTTACTTCTCTCCTACCTGTCAAAAACCAAATGTTATTTTGTTTAAAAAATTTTAATGATTTTCACATATGTATATTTTGTCTAGAAAACCAGATAGAATCTCAAAGCTTCCTGGCAAGTTTTATTTTTTGCACTCTCCAAAAGAATTCAAAACAGTGCCGTGCACATCATCAGTCCTCAACAAATGTTTGTTGACTGACTGAGTGAATGGGTGTTTGTTTTTATTTGCACCGAATAAAATTTAGCTTTCTCAGAATTCACTGTTCTTACATTCTTTGTGCAAAAAAGAGAACAAAAGACATTATAAATACATATATATACACATATGAATATATTTATATCTGTACATGATTGATAGGTAGATAGAAGGATAAACAAAGGTTTTGAAATGTGTTATTCATTCTCTTCTTCCCACCATTTGTTTGTAATATAGCAACTTTCTCTAGATGTCAATGGTGCGAAATCACTGATTCTTAGGATTCATATACCCATGGAGCTGGGCAAGATCCAAAATAAAATTATACAAAATGACTGTTGATATTGCTTTAGAAAAGATGGCAAGCAGTGTCAAGAGGAAAAGGTGGCGTTATTGTAGAATATTTGAAAATAAAGAGCAATTTCTCTGCAGCTCCAAACAGCTGGACAAAGAATATATAAATCTTTTTTTTTCCCCTGTAGTTTTAAGTTTTTGGTACTTTTTCCAATGAAATTGAATGCATTTCATTCCATTGTTGCTTTGAGATGCTGTTGTGTTTTTAGGGCCAATATTTAAGAAAAAGTGAGTTAAATATCTGGCTTGTTTAATAACATCAATTATATTTTTTCACATAAGGTTGTTTTCCCCCTCTATTCTAGTATTTTCTATCAAGAAGGGATACTTTGAGTTTCTTTCTGTTTGTGTATAGGAAAAGCAAATGTTTCCTAATGTTAAAGCAAACTTTTGAAGAAAAGACTTTACCAAATTTCAAAGTATATGTTACGCATTTTCTAAATTTAAAGAATATTTGGCCAATTTTCCATGATTAGGAGAATTAGAAGAAAGGATAATTAGGGAAAATAGTTACTAAAACACTTTGCTTAAAGTGCTACAATGCTCCCAATCTGTCACTGCAAATGCATTACTGCATCCAAAGAGTCAAGGGAACAGTTAAATAAAAGAAAGAAAATTTGGTTGATGCATTGTACAAGACTGCAGACTAAGGACAAACTCAGTAGGAGTACTTTAACAACATCAACCTCATGGGAATGGTGGAAGCCAGAAGTCCTCTAACACCAAGAATAAAACAATAAAATTTTGGTATAAATTTTAGAAAAAGATTTACCGAGAAGACCAAAATGTGGAATCTCTTTCCTTGGGGAATTCATGAAAAAGGTTAGAAGTCTAGCTTTTACAAAGAGGTCAGGTACATTTCCTGTCTTGAATTAGGTGATACATTAGATACATTCTTTCTGACACAGTGAATTTCAGAAATCTCCCACTTATAAACCAGATGCCTTTTTTTTTTTTTAAAGATTTTGTTTATTTATATGACAGAGAGAGACACAGCGAAAGAGGGAACACAAGCAGGGGGAGTGGGAGAGGGAGAAGCAGGCTTCCCGCGGAGCAGGGAGCCCGATGCGGGGCTCGATCCCAGGACCCTGGGATCACGGCTGGAGCCGAAGGCAGACACTTAACTACTGAGCCACCCAGGTGCTCCCAGATGCCTTTTTTTTTTTTTTAAAGATTTTATTTATTTGGGAGAGAGAGAATGAGAGATGGAGAGCACGAGAGGGAAGAGGGTCAGAGGGAGAAGCAGACTCCCCGCCGAGCAGGGAGCCTGATGTGGGACTCGATCCTGGGACTCCAGGATCATGACCTGAGCCGAAGGCAGTCGCTTAACCAACTGAGCCACCCAGGCGCCCCGCCTTTTTTTTTTTTTAAAGATTTTATTTATTTATTTGAGAAGGAGAGAATGAGAGATAGAAAGCACGAGAGGGAAGAGGGTCAGAGGGAGAAGCAGACTCCCTGCTGAGCAGGGAGCCCGATGCGGGACTCGATCCCGGGACTCCAGGATCATGACCTGAGCCAAAGTCAGTCGCTTAACCAACTGAGCCACCCAGGCGCCCCACCCCCCAGATGACTTTTTAAGGTTCTTTTCTAAGTTGGCTGTTGGAGAATACAGGATGGATGTGTAATCATAGAAATAATCAATAAACATGGTGGCTGTGTTAGATTGTCCTAAACTGTTATACCACTCACTGTTCTTTGCACACAGTTCTTGTTCTTTTTAGAATGGAGTGTGACATTTTTTGAGTGAGACATTTCTTGGAAAAGCTATGCATGCATAACATTTTGTAAATAATTTCAGAAAGTTCATAAAATCTGTGAATCTGCTTTGAAGAATGTAGTTTTCCTGATTCTGAACCCTAATTTTTCTGTGAAAAGACGTAAATCCTGTTCCAGGGCATCCTTAATGCTGCCCACCCTGCTGGAACTCTGACAACAATCTGTCCTATTAGTACTTGAAAATACATCTCAGGTGTAGAATCAGTTTGAGCCCTCACGTAAAAACATAGACTTTCAAAATATTGTTTCAATAATTCTTACAAGAGCTCTCATAAATAGTGTCAAATATTTTTACATAGTTTACTTCATTTAATTCTCACAATAATCATCTGAACTGTGATCATTTTAGATATGCAAAATTTAAGTCTTGGGAGAGTAATGTACTTTTTATTGTTCAAATTCACAAAGTAAGTGTCTGAAAATTATGGAATTTTTAACCCAAGTTATCTGACTCTACCCACAGATTCCGCATGTTCTCCAATGGATTAACATCACAGTTGCAAACTTATATTTAGAATCATATATCTTTCTTAGAATATTACTGCCATTTCTTGCAATTGCCCAATCCTTCAAATCTTTTTGAATTCTAGGCAGACTTCTGTCATTAGCACCTTTGTGCACCACTCATCTTTTAAGTTCAAATGCTAGTTTCCAAACCCTACATAGGTTTTCCTATGAAAATAATCCCTATTCACTTTAGTTAACTATCGTTTGCAGTATAATTTGTAATGAGATATGTTTTCCCCATTTGATCAGAATGGTCAGCCAGAGGTTACCTCTTCTGAGCTGACTTGGGGAATCTTTAGGCACCTGTTAATTCACTATGTCCTCCATATTTAACTCCTAGTAGAAGGGAAGGTCTCTAGACCTATAGATGTCCTGATGAAAAACAAAGGAGAATTAACTCAGTATAGCAATTTCCGTTCCTGAATTTTCTGAATCAGTTAAGAATAACCCTTGTAAGTCACGTGCTGCCTATTTATTAAATCAATGATCCAATAACTTTACTTACATATTGAAATGCTCAGCGAAGATCAAGTTGGTAGAAGTGCCGGTGATGGTTGTCAGTCCACCAATGGTAGAAGAGTAAGCAATACACAAGCACATAAGTTTACACATCATGTGGTCCCTCTCTGTTCGATACTTGGTTCCTGTGCCTGAGTTCTGTTCAACAAGAAAAAAGTTTACACATCATGTGGTCCTTTGCTTGATATTTGGCTTCTGTGCCACCAACATTTAATCATTTTCAAGTCATCTTTACAAAAGGAAAAAAGGCAGCCTTCTTTACCTTCTTCTCAATTAAACTACTGCCCTACCTCACTGCCATTTTCACAGCCAAACTACTTAAAAGAGTTGTCTACATTCACTGACTCCAATCCTTTAACCACTCCAACCTGACTTGTGTCCCTTCACTCCACCCCAAATGCACTTGCTATGATTATCAATAACCTGTGTATTACTAAACCCAACAGATACTTTTTAGTCTCAGTTTTGTAGACCTCTTGACAGTACCCAAAAGAGTTAATCACTTGTTCCTGCTGGAAAACTCTTCTTGCGGGTTCTGTGATATCTCATTCTTGTAGTTTTTCTCCTACATCTCTGCTTGTTTCTCTATCTCCCTTGCCAATTCATTTTCCTTTATCCTTCCTTAAAACTGGAATTTCTTGAAACTTTGTCATGGGCACCTGTCTCTTTTCACTGTAACATTTATCCTTAGGAAATCTCATGTGATTGCTGGGCTGATTGAAGAGATGATGCTGTAGTAAGGGGTAAAGACTGAAGACCAGAGAGACAGTAGTGAAGGTCAATGGGCAGAAAAAGAGCTCTTAAGAAAGGCTGAGATGAACCATTAATTGAGCCAACTATTAGTACAGAAACTACAAAAACAAGGGAAGGGAGGATCCTCAGCAGATTAGCCTTTTGCCTAAGACAGTGGTTTCAACCTGAGACCAAGGGATTTGACCCTGGCCCAAAAGGAATTTGGAATAGAAAGCTACGAGCATGTGTTTGCAGATATCAGGACAACAAAGTAAGCACTACATTTCTCAGAAGTGGAGGAGGAATTTGGTGTGTATGTGTGGTGCACTTTCTCTTAAGAGTTTAGGAGAGAAAAAAAAGATTCCTATGCAAAGAAGGGAGGAAAAGCAAAGCATGTAGAGGGGTGAAGCTGGAGACAGTCGGGGATGACACGGCCAGAGGGAACGTCCCATGCTGAGGTGACTGAAGGACATTGCCATGGACACACTGAATGGGAAAGTGCTTGTTTTATAATGTTTCACGATGGGGGACTTATGTGAAATTAAATACACAGAATGATGAAATTTTTATAATAAAAATATATCCACACACACATAGTGCCCAGGAATATACTAAAATGAAATATGTCAAAATATTAACAATGGGAATGGGGCTTTTGTCTTCTTGATACTTTTTGTATCTTCCACAATCATAAAAAAGTTTTTCCAATATATAAAAGAATTGTGGACTCTTAGTGCAGGCAAGTATTTAGAAATTAATGTGGAACAAAGACCTCATTTTTCAGAAGACCAAAATGAGTCTCAAATGTGACCTAGCTGGTCACTGTAGAGCTGAAACCAGAATCCATGTATCTGAGTTTCCAGTCAGTGGTTACCTTTGTACCATTTTACCTTCCAGAACACTTTTTATTTATGTGTTTTTAAGCCTACATCTAAGACTTTACACTTGATTACATTTCATACTGCTTTTAACACAGCAATTATAACCTATTGTTTTTATTCAATCCCAATGCTATGCTTGTTATTTCACACAAATACATGACATCTAAGACCTTGTGGATATGCCTTCCACAAATTCTTCCAAGTGACCGATGAATTTTGTCTAGGACATGATCAAAAGCAGAATCCCATGACATCATCACACTGGTGGTGCTCAAGGGATTTCAGAAGAGAAATCTTGCAGATCCAGATATAACTCACTATCGCCACCTGGTGGCTGTGACTGCAGATTCCAGGGGCATATTGAACATTACCAATCTTGGTTACTAAAAATGCATACATGAACCAGCATGAACTAAACCAGTGGTCTCCAATTATGTACAAAATAATTCACTGGGGTGAGAGTGGTATGAAAATGTCAGGGATTCTATTTATATTTAAATAATTATGCAAGGCTAATTGTACAAAATATTAGTTCTGGCTAATCATTTTCTGCTTGCCTAAGGAAGCCAGTTTAAAATCTTCTAGCTCTTTTTGGATATTTATTTGCATAAGATCAATATGATATCATATATTGATTTCTCAGTTGTAGGCATTATAATTAAATTTCTACTATGTTAAATGATGAGAATTAAGCTTTCTTTCATAGACTTTGACCACTGAACACACTCAGGACTTTCCACGTCCTCATCATCCTCCCATTATGGCTACATGATAATTTTACTTAGAGCAGAGTTCAACATTCAGAATGTTGTCTAGAGTTGAGATCCATGAACATCTGAGGAATATGATCTATATCACTTTTCCTGTTTTGTACTCCTTCTCTACCCCTCCTTGCTTACTTAGTTTCCCAGGTTTTGCTTAATTTTCTAGATAACCACTAAATGGCTCCAAACTATTCTGTGGTTGTTTAAATCTTCTCTCAGAACAATCAAATGATAAGATACTTAATCTACATCACATATTCTACCAACTTCACAATCTTAGAGCACCTCTTCCAAGGCCTTCCTAACTTGTCTTAACTCGAGTCATTTTTCTCTCTAGAACCACAAAGATCTACCTCGACTTTAGTCTATCTTCTCACTTCACTGATAGTTTGACTGGATATTGATTTCAAAATTGAAAATAAATGTTATGCAGAACGTTGAAGGCATTTTTTTCCCGATTGTTTGAGTTTCCAGTGTTGCTGTAGAGAAGTCTTCAGCCATTCTTATTTTTTATCCTTTTTAATGAATCAGTTTTTCCCATTTTCGAAAACTTTTAGGATTTTCTCTGTTCTCATAATATTCTTAACTATCAATAACCTTCTCAATGTGTGTTTCATCTCTTGGCTGGCACCCAGTGGGATTATATTCTTCCACTATGGAAATTTTCTTCAATTTTTGATGTAGTCTCCTCAGTTTTCTCTATTCTTTTTCTGGAATTTCCTATTATATATCATACTAAAAAGCTTCTGCACAGCAAAGGAAATCATCAACAAAATGAAAAGACAACCTACTAAATGAGAGAAAATATTTTCAAATCATATTTCTGATAAAGGGCTTATATCCAAAAATATATAAAGAACTCAATCAGCTCCATAGCAAAAAACCCAAACAATTTGATTTAAAAATGGGCAGAAGGTCTGAACAGACTTTTTCCCAAAGAAGACATACAAATGGCCAACAGGCACATGAAAAGATGCTCAACATCATTAATCATCAGGGAAATACAACTTAAAACCACAATGAGCTATCATCTCATACCTGTTAGTATAACTATTATCAAAAGGACAAGAAATACTAAGTGTTGGTGAGGATGTGGAAAAAAGGGAACCCTTGTGCACTGTTGGTGGGAATGTAAATTGGTGTAGCCACAATGGAAAACAGTATGGAAATTCCTCAAAAAATTAAAATAGAACTGTAATGTAATGTAGCAATTCTACATTGGGGTATTTTTCAAAAGAAAATGAAATCACTAACTCAAAAAGAAATATGCATGCTTATGTTCATTGCAACATTATTTACGATAGCAATGATTGAAACCACCTTAGTGTCAGCTGATGGATAAATGGATAAAGAAATTGTGGTATATGGACACCGTGGAATAATACTCACCCATAAAAAATGAATAAAATCTTGCCATTTGTGACAAAACAGATAGGAATCAAGGGCATTGTGCTAAGTGAAATAAGTCAGAGAAAGACAAATATTATATGATCTCTCTTACAAGTGGAATCTTAAAAAAAAAAAACCCACAAATACAAAAACAAAAGAACAAGCTCATAGATGCAGAGAACAGATTGGTAGTTGCCAGAAGTAGGGGGTTAGGGAGTCAGATAAATAGGTGAAGTGGGTATAAATTTACTAAAAAATAAAACTTAAAAAAAGGAAGTTCAAGACAGCATGTATTGTATGCTACGTTTGTAAATAAGAAGCAAAAATAAAACAATAAACATATCTATGTTGTGAAAAAAAAAAGGATACCATTCATATTACATGAATGCAATTCCTTTGTTTGCCTTTCTGACTATATTAATGATAGTTTATTTTCCTGTGTTTTCTTCTTGCATAGTCTCTGTTTCCTGCAACTTTCTGCTCCCTCTTTGTTTCTTTGGAAGTCTCTTTCATGCCCGAGGTTATCTTCAGATATCTAGAACTTTCTCGTTGTTTGTTCATACTTAAGACAATGAAAAGCTGTTTGGAAGCTCTGTACATGTGCTTTGGGAGTTGTTGTTGACTGTGGGCTTCACTGAAGTATCATCTGAGTGGGCCTCTTCTTCTTCTGAGAAAACCCAATAGTATACATTTTCACCTTTTCTTTGTGTTGATTGCATTCTCCAGGGAAGGCCCTTCTGGTCTCCTGCCTGCTGACACCTGGAGGGAAGAGGCCTGGCTCCTGGGACCAGTTGAGTAAAAGGGAAGGTTCTCACCATTCAGCAGATAAACTGCTTCACAAATGCCCCTATTTTCATTGTGAAACCTTTCTGTGACCTGAACTGTGTCTGGTTCTCCTAACCCTCTGCTTTACCAGTCTAAAGACGATACTTCTCTTTGGTGGAGAAGAAGCAGCTGCCTCTATGTAGAGTTGAGGAAAAATGGGAATTCAACTCTTTTCATAAGCAATTTCTTACTTACCCCTTGATTTTCAACATTTTAAAAACTTTGAAGGCGGCTGCTATGTAACCTGCATTGTTTATTGTCTTCCCTCACTGTTGTTTAGGATTCCACTTTTATGAGATAACTGAGTCATTTCCTACCCATCCTTTTACTTTCCAGCTTCCAAAATGATTTTGCTGTCATCTCTTCTCTTGACATTTATATAATTGTGTCTTACGACTTAAAAGGTCTATTTGTTCTTGTTTTAGTGGAGATTTAGGACAGAGTGAAGGCAAATGGGCTTATTCAATCTGGCATTTTATTGGAAGATGCAATATTTCTCTTTTTACATTAAAAGATAAATAAATGAATCTTAACTAATAATTATTGC